TATATAGGAAGGCTTCAGGCTATATAATATTACTCTGCGACTAAAAGTTTTTTTTAATTTTTGCGTGGACGGAGTCGCGGGCGACAGCTAGTGTTATTTAATTATGTTGTTCCTCTTTCCTTCGGTATAACTATAGTTATTTTTGAAAAAAAAAAATGATTATTAGAATTCTCTTAATGCATGTATGTTTTCTATATAACGTGGGTTTCTAAAACCGTAATCCCCGTTTAAAATATATTGCTTTCTCTTTTATCAAAGATAATGACAGGGATGACGATATGTTTTATACAGATATTTTCGTCTTAGAAATCAATATTTAATAGTTTAAATTTAATTTAGAAATGACCAAATGTAGATTTTGTTTGAGTAAGGAAATGAAATGCATTTGTGAATGAAATAGCAATTGTCGATAGCTGAGGTGTTGCTGGTAAAGGACCGAATCGTGGCCCGCCTTAAATGGATCACCATACCATTAACAAAATAGAATATCGGCGAATTATGAAGTAATTTCTAAAACACATTCTTTTGTTAAAATTCAAATATTATTATCGTATAGCTAACTGTATCGTGTTAAAGAATTGCATTTTAAATATGAAAATTTATACTTGGAACTAGTGGTGGCCGGTAACTTCGTCTGTGCTGAATAATAAAAACAGCATATATCTACCTTTTGTTAAAAATCCCGTCAAAATTAGACCAGTCGTCTATATTACAAGGAACAAACACGGATTTACGGTTATATAGACAGACAGAAAAACAAACTTTACATATAAAGACAACGAAAATACATCGTGTTCGCGAAAAGTGTTTTTTTTTCGATATTGCATACTCTAATTTTGATTACTTTAAAAAAAATTGTTAATCGTTTTCTCATTCAAATAGAAACAAAAGTAAAATTTCTTTCTAATTCCACCATTATCGTAACAATAGATATCATAGCTTCGAAATCTCGAATTATTTATTCAGCAAACCGTATTCGCACGTCCCGATAAGTTGTCTATAGGAGTCGATTCCGAAATTGGTTTGTCGCCATATAAGCCGACCCTAACACCCGTAGCGGGTGATTTACCCAGTGCCCAACGCTTGTCGATACGGCGACAATAAATAGAGGTGGCCTCAAGTCGTAACTGTCCGCCTCGACTCGCACACCTAAACTTAAGGTATTATGTTACTTTGAACACGGTTTCTATGTACATTCCTTTTTAAAATCTTCCTGGATCTTGATGAGATGAATTCAAAACAATCAAAACAATTCTAATTTCAAAAATTTAAAAAATAAACCCGTTACAGTGGGTTTCTGACACTAAAATCTCTGTAATAAACATATCGCAACATTTGACTAAACAAAGAAAACGGTATTTTTTAAAACGGAGATTACGGGCTCAGAAACTCATGGTTAATGCTATAAGTAATAATTGTAAGTTAAATGTATTCTAAAGTAAGTAATAATTGTAAAGAATATATATACATAATATTTTTATATTATGTATATATATTCTTCGGTGTTTGTACTAGATTGCTTTTTATTTTTACTTTACTTTACTTTATACAGCATTAAAAATAGATTTTTGATAATTAAAATGACGATGACATATAATTTTAAGAAATCAACTAAGCGGATTGTTTTTTGTTAATAAAATTGTATTATATGTGAATGCGTACTAAAAGAAGTGAGATATTTATATAGGACAGGTACGTAACATAGGCTTCCTTACATTAAGTTCCGAGTTGGTTTCGATGAGATCGGGGCGACGCGCAGAACAAATTTTTTAATAGCAAATAAAATCGAGCTTTAAGAGATTGAAATAAGAGTTAATTTTACTTTGCACTTTATCAAGATTGCGTTAAATAGACGTGAAAAGTAATATTAAATCTTGTTTTCAATAACATAAAGCTCAATATTATTTGCGATAACTCTGCTGTGTTCTCTGCCCCGGTCAGTGTGAACATACCCTAAGGAACCGATGTTCGTTTGGCGCCGTCCTGTTGTAGCTACCTTATATAGGCTACAGTCGACGTGGTATTTTTTACAACTAATCATCAAGATTAAAGGAATCCTGATGGATATAATTTTACGTTTAACGACGAGATGCTGACTTGAAATGTTTCAGAATGGTAGCACTCAATTGGAAATGAATAAAAGGAAATTACGTCATCACTTTCTTAGAAGAATACAAGATATCTTTATAATATTTAACGTAGAAAAATAAAGGTAATGCCAGAGTGGTATTTTTGTTGAAAGTACTTGTCCTAAAACGGGTACAAGTCTCGGCATTCTTAAAAAAAATAACGCCGAAAATGTTGTCTACTATCATATACATTACTTGTTAATACTTAAAGATTTTTTTCATTTAAGGAACAGAGGCAGCAATGTATACAATTGTAAAGATTATCGTAGTCTAAATTTAGTGTTGTAATGGTTTAATATAAAGAGTATTGATATGGTATAATGGTCAATTAGTTGTGACTCTCATTTACTTAATGTTTGAAAAAAATCTAGCCTGATAGAGATTCCCAGACGTCTGATATGCGGACTTCGCTAATAGTCTTGGACCATGTTTTTAATCATTCATTGTATACATCGTAAGAAAGTATTACTGTTTAGTTTTTTTTAATATAATTTATGTCATTAGTACAGATCAGATTAATTACAAAAAAATAATGACTCATTTGGCTCGATTTCTTCTTTTTTTATTTAATATTTTCTTTATGGATGTTATTATATAACTAGATTTTTTATTAATAATTGATGATGTAAGCGGTATCTTCAGACATTTTCTTTCTGATATTTAGCGGTAATTGGAAATATTTTCCAACAAATACTTGAATCATAATAGTAAGTAAAACAAAGTTATTTGCGAAAAAATATACAAAAGATCGACCAACAAGCAATTCACAAACAAACAATTTATATGTCGTTTAATTTTGTTTTGTTCGTATTATGTTTTAACAAAAAAGAAATTTACCAAAAAGTTTTAACAAACAATTTCTTTTTAAATTTCAAAACAAGTATTATTAAGCAGTGATTTAATGAAATGTTATACAAAATAAACTGGATTTGCGTCGAATAATTTTTCAAAACAATACCAAACGGAGAATTGACAGACCTTTCTATCATGTACATATATTTCAGTTGTATTTCCAAAGCTGCCAGCATTTGTTCGTGTTCCGTTATACATTATTCTTCAAAAGGCAAGTGAGCGATTTATTCATACTGTCCTGTCAGTCAACGATGACTGAATTCTGCATTAATTCGTTTGTGTTTGAAGACAGAATGCAATACGTGACCCTAATTAAAGGTATACTGTAGCCAATTATTATTGGAATTAAGTTCAATAATAACCTTAAAGTGATTATAAATATTATAGCTAACGTCAAATGTCCCATCGTAGTGAGTATTGGCGGGAATTCAGGTTATTAGCGTCTGATTACAAAAAAGCTTCAGTTACAAGTCAATCAAATAGTTGGTAAGGCGAATGTCATAGACGAAGGCGCGTCTACCGCCTTATTAGGAGTGTATTTGATGGATGAACCGACTCGTTGCACTTGGTACAATGTTTTGCTGTATTATATAAATATTAAATATGATTCATAAGGGTCGTACGATTTCGCGCGTAAAAAGTCACCCACCGCGCACCGGGGGCATACCGATGTCTGTAACGATGCCCACGTAAGAATCGATTTTATGAAGAATTCAATCGCACTGTACCGCTAGGGATGTCGCCAACGACTAATACTCTAGGGTTGAACAAAAAGTTTTCGAGATATTAATTTGTTGCGAGATGATTAAAACAGCTTAGAAAGCTTTCTATATATTGATATTATTTAGTATAAGGAATCTATCTTACTCTTATTAGGGTTCCGTACCTCATAGGAAAAAAACGGAACCCTTTTTTCATTAATGTAGCGAACCTCCTACATTGGTTTAAAATGTGTAATTTAAATTAGTTCGAATTACTTTTCCCTGCAAAATGACCGCGATATTACGTATAATTAATCATTGTCATGACGGATCATTAGGATTAAATTAACACTTTTCTAATATTTATTTATTATAATCTTAGCTTTAATATCATGCATATTGTAAAATGTTACAATAATTGTAACAAGTTGCAGTGCTTTTTAACTTGAAATTGTTTTATAGTATTTTTAAATGCGAAATGGTTGTAGAAATCGGAGTAATTTGGCGCAAAGACATGTCGCATTAGGGCCGTTTACGTCCTGTTAGGCAGGCGACAGGCGACAGGTGAATGCAGGCCCTGGCCGTGGCGCTTACATCGCAATTAGTCGTTACGTTCCAATACCAATTAGCTCGGAGTCGGCGCGAACGTGCCCTTTGATCGTGAACGTAAAATTCAAAAGAAACCGTCAATTGGTTCACCTGCAATCGATTAAATAAAATTCCAAGCAATCGTACATACATGTTTTTTATTATCAACAAATATAAATTGTATTTTCTGTTGCGTGTTTTTAATCTTTGAATTTGTTTATTAATAACATCGGCATTAGTATCGGTATGAGATTTAAACTAACTGTGATTAATCGACTTTATTCTCCGTAAAATATTACGGTGGGTTTCCATTGTTCAAACACCTATACAAAACATACAACTAAATCTCTGGAATAACAGATAATGAATGTTCAGACACGTGTTTCACCAGTGGAAGCCGACTGTAATAAAATGCGCGAGAAGCTTTTAACACCAGCTATTAAGTCTAATTTAAAGAAGTTTTAAAACTGATAATATTAAAAATATAATAGAAAAAGCTTTCACATCCAAAAGCTTTTCTAACACTGAGTAATTTAGCTTTTATTTTTGTTTTAATTTCATTGTTTACGTAAGCAAAGATCGAAACGGTTGCCTTTGTTATATTAAATAAGCAATAAAGTCCATGTACGTTTGATGTATTTTTTAATCATTTTTATTATCTAAAAATTATGTTTTCGTATCAACTTTCTAGTTATTGTTCCAATATTTTTATGCACTGTTTTATTTGCAGGAGTTCGCCTGACCTTTCGAGAGTGCGACAAGGTTTGTGTTTTGTTTTGAACTTATTAACGGCGATGTTTGACCTTCACAAATATAATAGACATTATAATATGAATTTTATGTTTGTTCGCAAGCTGTTTTCTGTCATTGTTGTTGTTGAAATGTCCACTTTGCTTATATTTCACATAGATACGTTCGCTTTACGACTTGAAGCATATCAAATAGCAATCTTTATTCAAACCGACAACATTGCTTTTTTGTTTTTTTTTCTGTATTTATATGCTCGTGTAATATTCGATTCAAATTTTAAATATGGCCGCCGAGTATTCAAGATTTATCATTAGCAGAGAAGGTAACTTAAAATTAGTAATCATTGTGAATGAAGGAAATATGTATATCGTTATAAGATTTTAAATATTAATTTTATTACTTTTTATAATATATAGAGTGTAAATCAAGCAAAATAACCGTGGGTGTCTGAGACTAAAATTTCCGTTTAAAACGTATTGTTATGTTTTATACAGACATAAGGTAAAAACCATTTTATACATTTTATTATTCAACGTTTATTATTTAACGTGGCAGGATCAGTGGGTAACCCGACGCCGTCGCGGGCGTCGCCGCAACAATCCCGGCCACGGTCCACCAGTGTATCATCGCCTGCGGAGCCGCCGCCCAGAAAACGGACATCTTCTGGCGTCTTCCAGGTTATTTGTTACTTGATTTAAGATTAAAAAATGTATATTACAGATGTAAATTATAATACATTGAACATATATTCCTTTGATTTTATCAGGATAAAAAAATATATTTTGAATCAATTTATTGTAACTTTATCTTTAAGGTTGATGAACTGGAACCACCGCATAAAAAGCCGGAACTCACTCGATCCAAGCCAGAGGAGCCCGCGCACGAACGCCCCCTGGCAGCCATCTCGAACGGTCGGCGGAAAGCGCACGCTGCCACCGACAACGTGGACAAATGTCGCGACAAAAGCGAAATTAAACATAATATACCCGTAGATAAATTTGATAGTAACGCCACTAGCAATTGCGTGGCCGCTTTTAAAGAAAGCGATAGTTGGGATTAAGTAAATTTTTTCGATTCTCTATTTGTATTTTTATTTATTACCTAATGTCATTTAAGTCTGGATCATATTACAGAGGACTAGTAGGACCTGTAGAATTACCTACGTGGCTTCCTCGATGTAGCAAAATATCGTCAAAATCTGTGCAGACGTGGGATAACAATTCTATAGAAGAATATTTGTTGCCTGCGACTTTGCTAGTGGAGAATTAAAAAGAAAGCTATAATATGGCTGTATGAATCAGCTACCTTACCGACAAAATTGGTCCTGCTGTACCGGAGGCTACCCGGCTTTGTGGACAGATTGACAGACAAAAATGAATAAACAATGAAAATACATCATGTTCGTAAAATGTATATTTTTCTCGAAATTACGTACAGACACTCCAAAAGTTTTCAAGAGTAACAGTTTAAACTCTTCACCATCTTCCTTTGGTTAGTATGTGTTGACGTCGTCGAAGATTGTCATCGCCAGCACGTTTGGGATTTCCAAGGGCATTGCATAAAGGGAGGCACATGCCGCTTTGAAACCCCAGCTATACGGCAACACTTACATCTTCATGTTTCATGTTTTCATCTTCAACAACATTCCTGATTTTCCTAAACGAAGGAAACGAACTGAAATACGAACTGAAGCTATTTTCGCTGACAATTTCTACATCTTAACATTAGGTATAAAAACATTTAAAAATAAAACAAAATGTAGGTTAATATTGACACTAATTTTATTAGCTTCGATCTTCAATTGTTTTCATATATTGATATTTACGAGTAATATGTTAGTAATTTTACTAATATACATGTGAATGTTTATATGTATGAATGGATGGATGTTTGAAGGTATCTCCAGAACAGATGAACGGATATCGATGAAATTTGGCATATTTAACATAATCTGTACGAACATATAGATTACTAATTATGTTTTTTTTTAATTAAGAATGCACGGAGTCGACAGCTAATTCTAATAGATTTATAAATTATAAGTTACATAGACGACTTTCCCGTCGTTTGCTAATTTAAGCAATTTATTAATGTTACATCCAAGTAATTGTATAGTCCGTTACAGTTGTGCGTTGCCTTATACAGTTCTGTAAATGGTAGAGAGTACTAATTGTGCCATTGTACATCAATACGTGTTAATTAAATAAGGCTCGTCATGTTAATGAAGCTTTGATGTACGCCGCGAACATTGGACATTATACAAGCCTTGTTTTTAACATTACGAACAACCTTAATGTAACGATGAGCCGGAACGGAAGCAGAAGTATTCTATAGATTTTTGTGATGTTTTATTTGTAAGATAATTATGTATAAAATTATGTATTTCTCCGTTTCTGTTATTTTGACTATTTTGGTATTAAGTAGTCACAAAGTCGGAGTAATAAAACATTTAAATTAATAACATTTTAATGAATAACAATTCATCTCTATAACATATTTATGGTTTTAAACAAATTTAAATTTATATTTACTATACCAAAATGTAACTGTAAATTGCATCGTAGCTTTTGATAAAAACCAAGAAAAGACATCGACGGAAATGGCGAAAAATATCACTAAATATTGGTACAAAAAAATAGTACCATCGACCTGCCTGACATTCCTGCTTGATACCTTCACGCGTTTTTGAGAAAAAGGGTCTTGACAGACGGACGGGCGGACAACAAAGTGATCCTATACGGGTTCCGTTTTTTTCCTATGACGTACGGAACCCTAAAAACTATCCATATATTGATATTTTTCTTTCTAAAACCACGATAAGTTTCTCTTTAAAATATGGCTTAATACTAAGATGATAGATAGAGAAAACAAAACACCATAGGGGGTAGACGGATGGTGTTAACACTTCACCAGTTTTAGGCACCTCCGACCTTGCTTGTCGATATCGATCTCCAAAGCTTTCAGTTTAAATCTTTACCGACTATCGATAGGTCAGTCAATCTCAGTTGACCCGTGATACACTGGTTGATGTTATCCAAATGCCGTTTTCCTTGTCTTGAAAGATTTAGTATCGATTTTAAAAATGTCATACAATCATTTCTTATAACCTCAAAATTTTACTGTCAGTATTATTTATACTGTGAGACTAAGACGAATATTTGTTACATGCGCCATCGTACAGCCATTGGTAAATACACCAAAAATGTCTAATTTTGACACAAATAAGATGACGATTCGAAGGCGCTTGTCGTAAATATTCGTGTTAGGCCCACTGAATATAGGGACCACAGCGTTATCGAGTTACAATTTTTGATATAAAAATAAAAAAGTTCTTTTTTCTTTCTTCTTAGTGTTGTATTGACCACCGCGACTTGGGACTTAGCAGGCCAGTAAGAAACTGTACACCCACAAGACCGCTAAAACCCTAGTCGCGAGTGGAGCTACTTCTTCTTTAATCAAAGTATTCTTGACGCGAAGTGGACCTAAAATCACAAAATTAGAATGCTTTTAGTGTTTTTTATTAACCTGACAATTTTGTCACCTGCCAGTAGTTCGTTGTAGTTGCAGTTGTAAGTTTCAGATGTCCCATGAATACCTGAATGATATGAATACCTGAAACAAATCAACACTTATGTTAAAATGTAACTCGAAATTGAAATTATTGCGATGAGGAAAGTAGTTTTTTTTGCCCAAAATCCAAGGGCAGTGAAAACTTGAGGATCTGTGCGATACATTGGTTCTACTCTGCGCTAAGTTTAACCCCAACTTAGCCATGCTTGCTAAAGTTAAAGTTAAATGAAATGAATTTTAAACGACTGGATGGAGTCTAAATCAAGGATCACAAGTGGCTCTAGTGCCGGCGGCTACGCACTATGAGATTAATCAACGCGGATGCGAGCGCGTGCAAGCCCGCGGCATCTGCAGTACTGATACTGTGGACCAGTATTCGTTTTGAGCTGAGGATTGGGTTTTATTATTGTAAAATTTTCAAAGTTATCACCTTATAGTTGTCGCACGCAACTCTATGCTCGTGGAATTAAAAAAAAAACTGAATTAGTAGCCTATATCTTCTTCCAGACTATGTTCTACATCTATGCCAAATATCAACGAGATCCATGAATCCTAGATATCATCCATCCATCCATCCAAACATTCGGATTTATAATATTAGTAACATTAGACTATGTTAGGCGCAAACTTTAGTAGTAAAAGTTATCTGTATATTCTTGTTTAAATTTCATTGGACTTTACAAAATAATTGGCTTATTTATATTTTGCTTTTATTATTATATTGCTTTTATCTGTCGCCATTGTTGTAGAAAAAGACAAATGATACTTGAAATTGTGGCAGAAAAGAGCAAGAATTATTATATGAAACTTCTAAGTTTTTATCTTCTATTTTTTAATAAATACATTGAATCATATCTTTTCTGATTAATACACTAACAAGAAATTAATTTTAGATGCAGCATTCTTACATATACAGTATGTTTTAGAAAAAGTATACGTCTGTATCGTAAATAATGAAATCAAGTATAAAAATATAATTAATCTACTGCGTAAGAAACAGATCATTTTCTATGTATCCATGTTTATGTAAAAGTATGAATACATTCGTTTATGCAGTCTCTACAGTCGATTATTAGATTAATGATCCATATCAGAAGGAAGAGCGTCGGTGGCTGAGTGGTCAAGCACTTGACTTGCAATCTGCAGGTCCTAGGTTCGAATCTCGCCATGTACCAATGTGTTTTTCGATATCCGATTTACATATGTACATTTAGCCGATGTTCTTACGGTGAGGGAAAACATCGTGATGCCTGCATATATCTGAGAAGAAATTCAAAGATATGTGTGAAGTCAACCAACCAGCACTTGGCCAGCGTGGTTGACTATGGCCTAATCACCTGCAACTTTAGGGTAGGCTCCGGACTAATTTGTTTGCGCACATTAGAAGTCATGTAAATAACATTAAGGGACATCCTGGGCATTCATGTTCGTGGTTAGACTATAAAATACACGTATACGCAAGACAGTGAAGCTTTTGTGAATACGCTTATATATTTCTAGATTAATTAGGTTTTTTCCACATTTTAAAGACTGGTAGAATAGTATTTATAATTATTATATTTTTCATTGTGACATTCTGTAGATGACACGGTTTTGTTTATTTTGAAATGTTAGGTTTTATTTGATTCGTATTCTTTTTTCGAGTTTGTAATGATGCAATCATTGTGGCTTATTATATTTTTGATTACTTTTTTTTCGTTATAAATAGTTGCAGTTCGATGATATATATATTTAAATATATTTCATTATAAACTTAGTAACATATTCAAATACTATTAAGGCATTTAATTCAGTAGTGGCAGTATTTTATATTAATAGTAAAATAACGCTGACAAACAGTTCGCTGGCTATAAATCGTAGCTGTCGAAGATCGACTTTATTGATTCGAATGCAAAGGCGAAGGCACCTACTATTGAAATGTTTAAAGAAAAATAGATTCACTGTTTTTAGTCCACATTAAAGTGTTTTACTTGAATGTTTCAAATTGCGAAAAATGTAAACACTGATTATTTTAAATGTATCTTATTATTCATTTATTTACATACTAGTTGTCGCCCGTGACTCCGTCCGCGTGGATATATTAAAAACTAAAATACAAAAAAAAATGAATAAATAGCATTCTATGTCCGTCTCCTGACTCTAAGCTACCTCCTCACCAATTTTCAGCCATATCGGAAAAGTCGTTCTTGAGTTATAAATAGTGTAACTAACACGACTTTCTTTTATATATATAGATTTTCTATAGTAAATACTAGCCGTCGCTCCCGAACCCATCCGAACGGAATAAAAGAAAATTATCAGTAGCCTATGTGTTCATGCAGGCTGTGTTATACATCTATGCCAAATTTCAGCGAGATTCATGCAGTCGTCCTTGAGATACATTCAAACGAACATCCATACATCCATGTAAACATTCGCATTTATAATATTATGTATAACACACCATCAGCTACGGAATGTCACCCAAGCAACCAATGGTCACAGGGAAAAGAACCTCTTTACAATGCGC